ACACACACTCACACACATACTCACAATAATTAAATGTTACTACTAGGTTGCTCTTTATAAAAGAATCAAGCGAGCCGACAAAACACACCACGGAGAAGACCACTACACGACTAACTTAGTAAAAGCCACAAGACTGTGGAGCAGACTCTGAAGCAGTCAGCATAAACAGGGCTGGGGTTTTTAAGGGCTGTGTTTAGTCATTTAAAAACTAACGCTGCTACTTCACAAAAGAACCACGCAGCTTTTTGTCTGTTTGCTGGTTTTACTGTTTGAGCTGTTTCTACAACTCACTTGCTACCTGGGTATTACAACTAAAGCTCCACGTGGAACATTTAAAAAACACCTATTCCCTTCCTTTTTGATAAACATGACGGATAAATGACAACCTGGGTGATAATAGGACTCTAGCTGAACACACCTTGTCAGGAATAAAAACAAAGTCAAGTAACACCACAATTGACCTTTGCTGGTCAATAAGAATTACAGCAGATTGTCCGGGTGAGAATCCCATCGTTCCTGGTTGCCCTTAATCTACCCCTTAGGTCTTAATAAATTCAAGATACAACTGAACTAAATGAAGATGACCTTCACGTGGAATACTTCAGTGGGAGGGGAGATCTGTTATGAGACGGGAAGCGGCAGCACAGAGGTACTTCTAAATAAACATATCTAATTTGCAAAATAGTTTAAGAGGGTTGTGCTTTACCACGATTACAAAGTAATTAATGGCACTAAAATACCTGGTATCATTGACAAGTGTAGCTAAATATCTGTAGTAAACTGTCATCACAGAGCACACGCATTCCCTTGAAAGTACTGTAACAGATGTGCCTAAAACTGTAGTGTGTGCCTATAACCCCAGGGAGGCAGAGAAAACCAGCATGGTCTACAGAGGCCAGTTCAAGGCCAATAAGAACTTGCCTCAAAATTTCATTCACACACAAAGTAATATTAAGTGTCTTTCTGTGAACGCATCAGTTCATATAAAGATGCGTTATTTAGCTCCCAGAAAATACAAATATGGACATCTGCCAGCATGTTTTGGTCAACCAAAGACCACATGTAGCAGGTATCTGCCGTGTCGTATAGTCTAAGTATGTAGCAGGCTATACCACATACATGTATACATACGTGTACTCTGTGATGTTTGCAGAATGATAAAATCACCACCTACGCATTCCTCAGTACGCATCCCTGCCGTTAAGCAGCGTGCTGACTGTATGGGGAAGGCACCCTTGTCTTGCATGCCCTGACAGATTATGCTGACTGTATGTGGAAGGCATCCTTGCCTTGCATGCCTTGACAGATTACCTGGAACATGTGAAACGCCAGTTTCTCATTGTACTCCCACTGCTTCATGGCTTGCTCAACCTCGGGCGGCACAGGGACAGGACCGTCGCCTGTACTGGAGGCCATGTGGTAAAAGTCAGAGATCTTGACCAGCTGCTCTCTAAGGTACCTGGTAGATATCTGTGTCCACTCTGCATTAAGAGAAAAAGAAAGAGAGTCCTGACTGTAGACACAGCTAACAAGAATTACATCTTTTCTCCCCCCCCCCCCCCAATTACCTGAGGACATACTTTCAAGTCTAACACTTGTTACATAAAAACGACGTCTGCCTATGCAGTCACGACTCAAGAAAGCATGGCCAGACAGAACCTGGCCAGATCTCAGGGGGACCAAGCCATCCCTACTCTTGCATGACTGTGACGCTAAAGACGCCCGTATGAGAATTTTGTCATCTGCGATAAACAACAGTTAGTATCACAAAACCACTCAAGGGCCATCAGAAAGCAGAACAGCAGAGGAAGAGCACTTGGTAAGAAACCCTGATCCACTAACTGAAGAGCACCAGGGCTGCCACCGCAGCTCCGCACCAAGGCTGCCACCGCAGCTCTCGGGGTGAGCTTCTCTCCCACTCCGTGTCAGATTTCAAACACGCGTGCCCTGGCTTTTGGTCTGTCTACAGAACTGACACCCACAGGCGAGAGCGTGAGCTTCCCAACCTGCACAGCCCCCGGGATGTGCACAGACACAGGCAGGGGCGTGACCCCGGCATGGACCATCCGCACCTTAGTGGGTTTCGCTTTCTTCAACCAGCGCTGATAGGTGGTAACTCAGAAAGGATAGGGTCAGGCTGAGTGAGAGGCACTGAAAGCTAAGAAACGAAAAGGCAGCAGAAGAGGATGGGGAGGGGGTGTGGGTACTGGACGGGGTGGGTGTGTACGGGGCGGGGGAGGCGGTTCAGAGGGTAAGGCGCAGGCTTGAGTCCCAAGAAGGTCAGTCGATCCAGGCAGACAGCACGTGTTTGTAATCTTAGTGCTCTGATGGTAAGATGGGAGGCAGAGACAGAGAGGAGAGAATCCCTGAATGCTGTGGACCAGGGAGGCCAGGGAAGAAACAGCTCGGCTTAGCAGCAAACAACAAAGAAACCTTCCCGCAGCCAAGGTGGAAGGAGACCCGCAAACGGAGCCTGGCCTGTGACCACCACGTTGGCACACGTGCCCAGCCCCCAACGCACACACGTGCTCACACACAAGCAAAACGAAAATCACTGAAACTGCTTTAGAGTGACTGCCACTGGGGCACAAATTAAACTGTGTAGCCTCTGGCAACCAGAAAGGATACGATGCTAACTTTAGCCCATTCCGCGGGCAAAACACACAAAACAAACAAAAGCTTAGTAACCGCAAGCTTGCAGCCAAGTTTCCCCCAAGGAGTTAGGAAACCACTGTTTTCTAAAAAAGCATCTTAGGAGGACAACTTCAATGTTTTCCCATCATCTGTTCTCCCATGCTCTCAAGTGAGGAGTGGAAACCAATTGTCTGACGGTAACAGAGGGAGACCATTGGCTTCACAAGCCAGCTGTAACCAGACAGCCACTGTTAGGTGTTAGTTCCAACCACGCCTTTCAAATTAAAATTGGGTCTGGGAAATGGACGCGAGAGATCTGGAGGTCATTCCTGTATATGTCATAGTAGGCTTAAGGCCAGCTTGGGCTACATGAAACCTGTATAAAAAAAAGTGTTACAAATAAATAAAGTTTAAGTGTGCACCAAAACGTTAAACTCCAGTGATAAACCTCCAGTACAAAGGTATGGTCAGATATTGATTAGACTAATACTCTGTTCTGAGTTTAATCGTCGCTAAAACTGATCAACTGGAACTAAAAACAAAACACTCAACTATGGATGTCATCATTTTCTTGTCGCCTTGTGACATGCTCGTGACACGTGTTCAATTCCAACACTAACCATCTGTTGAGACAGGTTGAGGTTACCTCGAGCAAGCAAAAACAGAAACAATGATACACACCCTGAGCTTTGTACAGCAAGCCTCTTGAGCAACAAGCCCACGGCACATTTCAGCCAAAACTAAAAATAGCACAAATCTGCACACACCTACTTTGCCTCTGGCATTATCTTCATATTTTTTTTGTAAAAAAAAAACAAAACAAACAAAACAGAAGTACAAGTTCGCTATAGAAAATGTGTAGTTTAGATACACATGCAGAAGAAAACCCGTAATACCCCACTAGTCACTACTTAAATGCAGAGACACGGCGTTGTCCACATCACCACAGGAAACTGGTGCCAGCACTTCTACCACAGATACCAAAATCTGCAGGTGCCCAAGGTCCTTATTAAAATTTGCCAGACTGGGCAGATGTACGGCACTTACCAACCAAGGGTGAGGACAGAGTTCGGGTCCTCAGAACCCAAGTAAATGCCGGGCAGTCGTGGCGGCACACCTGTAAGCCCAGTGTGAGGGAAGCAGACACAGAGGACCCACAGGGCAAGGAGACTAGCTATGACCAGTGAGCTGTGCTCAACACATACGGTGGAGAGAAAGCAAAAGACGCCCAGTATCGGCCTCGGGCATCCACATGCTTGCTCATACAAACACATGGACCTGCACTGACATACACCCATGTAGACAAACACGTGTATATACATACACACACACACACACACAGAGAGAAATAAGTGGTATTTGTATAAAACCATAACATATCTTCTTTATACTTTGCATCTTCCCTACACTTATAACGTAAAAAACAATGCAAATGCTACGCAGATACATATTATACTACTGTGTGGACAGTGACAAACACAAAATGTGTATGTTCAATATAGATGTGACTTATGACAAACATTTTCCATCCCTGGGTGGCTTGATCTAGTCAGAGCAGTCAGTATTGTTGCACATAGAAACCCTGTCTCAAAACCCTACCAGTCCCCTAAAAAAAGGAATTAAAAACAGACAGGATAGAGAGACGGCTCGGGGATTGAGGCTGCAGGTGTCTGGACGAGGACTGAGGTCTGATTCCCAGGACCCATGAGGAGGCTCGCAGGAGGCTCTGGGTGTTCTGGACGATAAACAAAAACTAAAGGTTATTGAGAAGATTTGGCTAGAGAGAATCGGAGTGGATAGATGGGGAAGAGTGAGCCAGGGAGGTTGAAAGCGGCGTCCTTCCCAATTCAAGCAACTCAAGAAACACAGCCACCCCGGCAGTCCCACTCCATAAAGCATGCACTGAGGCCTGTGAGCTAGGGTGTTAGAATTGTGGGCACGAATGCTACCCAGAATGCCGATGGGTCAACAATGAAAAGAAGAAGCGGTTGTTAGTTTTTCATCAACGCTCTTCCTTGTATTCCAGGGTCCCAGAAGCACAAGCCCACCCTCGCTAATGCCTTACCCTAAGAAGAGAACGCTGGGGGGGTGTCACTGAGTCTGCCTGCCCCACCACAGATACAGGAGCTGTAAGACTGCCAGAGAAGGTAAGGCTAAGGAGCCAGCAGTAAAAACCAAATGTGACCCACGGCCCACTTTACTCATCAAACACAGGAATTTCCATGAATGCGGTGGTTGAAAGATGACGCCCAGAGCCGCCACTCCCCTCCCCCCAAAAATAACCAGAAACAGGAACAGGAATCTGGGTGCTAGGCAGAGGAGAGAGGAACAGGTGTTGGGGAAAATTTTTTAACTATGCAAATATGTGTTGCATTTGTTTAATTGTGGAGAGACATGCTGCTGTTTTATCTTGCCTGTCTAAGGTGCCTGATTGGTCTACTAAAAAGCCGACTGGCCAATAGCAAGGGAGGAGGGACAGGAAGTACTTCCAGGTCAGGGATATAAGGAAGAGGAGGAATTTAGGCACAAAGAAAAAAAAAAAAAAGAAAAAAGAAAAAGAAACACCAGGACCAGACAGACATGGAAAAAGCAGGAAAGTAAGACATACAGAATGAAAGTAAGGTTAAAAAAAAAGCCACAAGACAAAACATAGATGAACAGAAACAGATTAAATTAAGTTATGAGAGCTAGTGGGATGAGCCTAAGCTAAAGCCAGGCGTTTGTAATTAATAATAAGTCTCCATGTCTTTATTTGGGAGCTGGTTGGCAGCCCAAAATAAAACCCAGCTGCAAACAACACAGCCTGCCAAAGACAAAGAACCCTAGACATTCCCAGTGGTGTGACACCAGCAGAGACGTACTGGCTTCAGGAGGATATGCTGAGAAACACGAGGAGTCTGCAACCCAAACCCCAGCGCCACCACCATTCACCACTTGTGAAATCCGCAGCCAAGTACTGAACCTTGGCTAAGTCTCAGTTTCCTCTTCTGCAAAACAAAGGTCCGTTACTGTAAAGACAGATGAGTCACCAGCACAAGGGGAACAAAGTGGGAACTCATCAGTAAACCACGAAGGACGATTACAGAAGGGAACAGTTGGGCCCTGGCTGCCAATGGACAGCACGCACTGCTTCTGACATCAGGGCCTGCGCCCTCCCTCCAGCTAAGCTGACACCCAAAGGGCCACACAGTGGCCGGCACACTGCTTACGGAAGCACCAGGGCTGGCTTCGTGGCCCCGAGGTCCTCAGTAGATGCGTGGTCTTTAGAGGATGAAGATGGAACCTCTTGTGCGTGGGGTGGAACTAACCCCACCTAGCTCTGGCGCTCAGAGGCTCTGCTCACCTAAAGGACCTCCCGGCTCCCCCGCCCCGTAAGCGCTAGCAGATGCGTTTCCGGGACAAGCTGAAACGTCACACACCGTTTCTCTAGCCTCCTCCACCTCGTATGGATGACTCACTCTCTCTTTTCTGAGGGTAATCCCCTCAATATGCCTGATTTCCATAAATTAGATGTTGACTTCCATCAATCCATCATAAAGTCCTTCCAAAACAGATATGAAGTCCCTTACCTACTGGTTCTGCCTTTCAATTCTTAGTAGGAACTTAAAAGAACCCCACCATTGCATACCTATGGGGGTTTTGACACCAGCACACACAAAAAGAAGGCTAAATGCTTTAACGCTGTTGTAACTAGAAGCACGGATGTACAGACACTGTGATTTGCTCTCTTTGTCTGTGTGTGTGTGTGTGTGTGTGTGTGTGAGTGTGAGTGTATGTGTGTGTGTGTGTTACATACCTATGTGTCTTGCCTGGTGCCCACAAGGGCCACAAGAGGGCATCAGATCCC